ATAAACAAAAGTTTCACAAACTTACAAACAATATAAAACCTTCTTTATAGTTTGGAACTCTCGATATTTTATCGAGGGTTTACGATGAGCGAGTTAATTACAAGTTGATGTAAGTACAATTCGCTGGGAAGCTAGCTAGCTTTGTCTCCTTGGCGACACACGCTGTTTTCCACCATTGAAGTTAGGTAATGTTTTCGTAAAAATACTAATGTCCGATGAGAATCCACTGAAGTTAAACAATTTGTAACGATTGAATTTTATAAATATTCTTGGTCAAATATTTTAAGTTTTCCAATTGATAAGTGTTATAAAAATCACAGGTATAGCTTTTGAAGTTTATAGCACACTGATTATAGTGAACTACTAATAGACACTATCCTTGGCATGTCTCGTTGGTTATATTTATAGCCGTGGGAAGGTTTTTTAGAAAATTCAGTCTTATGCAACAATACTGGTTAAAGCATTTACGTATATAGATTTATTGTTGATTCATACTCTCGAGAATCTTCTACAACTTTGGAGAATAGGCGAGAGTTTCACAATACCTATCTAAAAGTATAAACTATGTATGTTTCTAAATATAAACTTAATCTAAACAACTTTCATATTAAAATAAATATATAACAACAAATTCGTTACACCTGTGACATGTAAGGATGAGCACATAAACAATTATTTCTGTAGATCAAGTCTCTAATGATGCTTACATAATTCAAGAAAACTTTGAAATTATTGAAATGTACAGAATGAGTTTTTAACATTTCTTTCAACTATTACTGTATCCTAAGTAAAAAACATCTAAAATGAAATTAACTACATTTTTATTATTTTCAAAACTGAACTGAAAAATGCTTAAGTAAGCTTTTAGCTTTTGGTATCACAATTTACTATAAATATTATAATTAAGCCAAACTAGGAAAAACTACTTTAAATCTTTCTTAACACTTAAAAAACTTTTAGGATGAAAATGAAAAGGCGGTCATTAAAGCAGTGGACTTCAGTATCACTCCAGAATCCCTCCAAAATGTAAAAGATGTAAGTAATACAAATTTGTTTTGTTATCAAACTTTTTAGGTCGCTTATATAATGAGGCAATTCACGGAAGGTTAATTTTTTTCCATTTTTTTGATGTAACATGTCAATGTTTATTGATAAATATATGACCATTAAGTAACCTGAATATCAGGATTCAGTACTATGTTTGTAGATTCTTCATATTCTAGTGCTTTAAGTAAATGTGTAAACATTTTCTAAGTACGTGTGATCCATTAAAAAAACGTTGTCTTTTAGAATTATTTACTTTGAGGTGTGCCTTATTAATCAGCAACTGATTGGTAATCACCATACACTGCATGTAATTGGCCACAATGCAAATTAAATAACTGAACTGATAACTAGATGACAATCAGCACAAGGATAAAGATAAAAAGGAAGTTGAGATGTTTGTTTTTTATTTTTACTATAAAAAAATACTCAAACATAAGTATTATTCAATAAAATATAATGCTATTTAAGCAACATTAGTAGAGTTATAATACAATGCATACTAATTATTGGCCATTGAAGTAAAAAAAAGAACATTTATCTTGATGGCTAATTTTCCAATTAAATGTTAGAAAAATACGTAGGTTCAAGAAGTCTTCATAGAAATTAATAAAAACTGTATAGTCCAGTGCTTTTGAAAAGTCGACCTTTCTTCTTCAGAAAAAAGGTCCACCTTTTGAAAGTGCTCGGGTTATAGGGTTTTATTCGTTTATCCAAATAAATGGATAGTTCTAAAGGAAAATGTGTAATTTGACTATTGAAGCAATTCAAATAATGTTTAGCATTTATGAATTATCTCTGTTTAAGTATTTAAAAGACATTTTGGCACTTAAGTAATACAAATGGAACATAAAAACATAAAATTGCACCATTTGCATTTCTACTTCCTTAGTGTCTAAAAATCAATAAATTACACAAAATGGGTAAATAATTATCAAATTTTCTTGAGTTAGGTGAAGGCATAAATATTCTCCTGTCACAGGGCACCAAGTTACCTAAGGTTGACACTGATCAATTAATAAATGATCATTGTGAATTAATTGTTTATCAGTAATTAGCCTAATTGCTAATTAACATATCTGTCACATTAATTTAATTAGAACTAGTTTTTAATGTTTTTCAAAAGAATGTTTATATAACTGTAATTTCAAAATTTTCAGAAAATATGTTTCTTATTCTCATTTAAAGAATGATTTTTGTAGAATATACAAGATTGAGCAAAGATTTCTTATTATTTAAGGTATATTAGTTATCTACATTAATTTACAAAAAAAAAGCAAACTTTTCAAGGATGCTAGAATTCTAAAATGGCATTAGTTCAGCAAAGAACATAAATCAGCCAGTGGCACACTTCCCTCAGTTTTATCCAAAGTCTTTTCATGAATATAGCTAGTTATACCAGTTATTCCTTTTGGCTGTATTGATGATTAAGTGCTTATTGAAGATTTAAAAAATGGAAGCACTGACCCATAGATTTGAAATAAGATTCATGTAGTTTGCAAGTGTGCTTTACTACATAATTATCAAATAACCTAAATGTCAAAAAGCCACTAACAAAGAACACAGGGTTATAATGTACATGTATAATACTGACAATTGTCAGTCTTCTTATTAATCTTTATTGAACTGTTAATTGTTTGAGATGGAATGAAGCCTGAAATTTTTGTTTCCTTACTTCTTTCTTTAGTAAAAACCTTTTATATTTCTCATGCTTGCAAAGGCATTATATTGAGATTCTGCCTTGGTTTCTTTCTCTGTCTTTTTTCAACAGATAAGCTGTAAAAAGAAAGATATTTTTATTCGTTTATTTACAAAATTTCGTGAAATCCTGTTAGTTTTTAATTAAAGGTTTTGATATAAAAAATTACTGCGTACTCCTCATGGAAGGAAAAATGGTGCATAAGCATAACTTATCACAGCTGTACTTACTCTGATAAATTTACATTGTAATGTTTTCACAAAATACTGTCATATTTTTTTCTAGTCACTTGTTTTCATCGTACAGTAATTAAAAATATGCGGGCATGGTAGCCCTAACATTTTTATCTTAAAACAGTTTAGTAAATTACAAATCCTGGTCAGTTGCTTTCCATGTAATTGTGGAAACATAGTATTTGTACCAATAAAAGTGCAAAGTTTCAATTTTATGTAAAAAAGTTAAAATTTAGGGTTAAATATTTTTTTTATATGCACATTGTACCACAACATGCTTGAAGGATGAGAGATGGTTAAATCAATCTTAAGATTTTAGCTTTTTTTTGTTCATACTGTACTTTTCAAAAGTGATGACTTATCTAACTACTGTTTTTTTAATTTCGTAAAATTTGATATTTGAAACACTTTCTTTACTCATTAAGCCAGCAAATCAATTGTGTTTTTATAATTTACTGATTTTATGGAGAACTACCGTATTTTTCGGAATATAAGACACACCCTTATTTTGAAGACAAAGTTTTGGGGAAAAAAAAGCTACAGTCGCATTTGAAGGATTTTCATTGAACAAAAATTCAATTTGATACTTTAAAAATTAGTACATATTGTTCTAAATACAAAAGAGCTCAAAACATCAAAATAAGAAAATACCGAAAATCAAAAAAAGGTTTACTGTTATTTAGTTTGGTTCAAAACCTTCATTGCTTTTACTGTACTTTATTTTTTTATTATTTAGGGAGCATTATAAATAGTTATGTTTTTAAAAGAAAAAAAACTACTATTGTTATAAATAACGCATTCAATTGAACTAAACTATGCATGTCTATTTAAATATATTTACACATGGCTTGTGTATATCGTATATATATACATATATATTATTCATACCTTCGGTGTATAGGACGCAAGCAGATTTTAACATCAAATACGGTATGCAGTAAGATTGTATAAGTGTTATGAAAGCATTTCAATTTCAGGAAGTTCACCTTGTTTATTTCGTTTAATTTTGTTTTAAATAGTAAAGATATGAGTAATCAGTATTCCTAAAATAATGGTGGTACATTGTACACGTACATAGCTGCTATGTTTATCATGTTTAAATGTTTCACAGAATTTTATATATCTTTTTTCTGTTTTATATCAGAGGAGTAAAATACCCAGTTTCTTGTTGAAGGGCAAACTAGACTCCACCATCTGCTGCATTACAAAACCTTTCACTGGAGAGGTAATATCATTTGTTTAAAACTTCAGGAAAAGGTGACAAAATCAGTGAAGTCATCTGTGACTTCTTTAAAACACTTAAGACAAATTATTGAGATGTTATTTTGCTCTGTATTTTCGTTAAGTATATTTCGTTTTTATGTAAGATTTCAGAATAATTTTCAAACTTTTTATGTATCTGTTGTAAATGAAAATATGCTGCCTAATGTATGTTAATAGATTTTAAAAAGAATTGTAAGTGTACGTAGGTTTTCTTTTGTAGCACAGTATTGTTAAGAAATGTATGCATTTTATATAATCCCTCAATGTGAGAGATTCTAGATGTTCCTTTTGTTGTATTAAGAATTAAGGACTTACTCCTTTGCCATACCATCAAATAGTAGAATTTGCTATATCGTGAAATTAGGTGAACTTTTATTTTATTTTTTTTGGGGGGGGGGGGTTCTACAAGTGAGGGATTCTGGGAAATGTATCCATTACCTATACTGTACTATAATGTGTGTGCTGCATGGGCATAATGTAATGTGTGTTTTTTGGTTTGCTGTAAGATTAGTGAATGTAAGCAGGGTTTCATGAAAGTAAATTAGGTAGAATATTCTATTTTCCTCAAACTATATCTTAATATAGTTAAATCTTAAGAAAGTAAATTTTGTGTTTTACAGAGATCATACATAGATAAGTATTTCTTGTAAGCACAGTTGAAAATATCATAGCTACAGATATATTGGAAATACCAAGACTGCATTCTAAGAAACTTATTTATAGATTGTACAAAAAAGACAGCCAAAATACTCTTTGTAAGTGGTTTTAACAATTTTCATCAGTTACACATGCATTTATTATTTTTATCAACTTGTGCATGTGTAGTATTCAAGTACATTGATATCTTACAGATAGTTAAAAGTATCAGCACAGTGCAAGTTCCAGAAATGTTATGCGGAGAATGATTTGAAACACAAATAGCAAAAAGAAAAACAAGTAAATATAAGTGAACAAAATAATATAATTGTTAATGAAGTGAAAGTTTTAGCTTTACTAGCTTTTTCTAATCCATTGTAGAATTTCAGCTGGTTGTTAGAACTTAGAGCAGTATTTTCACATCTGCACCAGATGAAGATGGAAAAAAAAAATCATGAAGAACCACTCTTTCAAGTCAGGCTAATAACCCAGTGTGTTTTTCTGTAATTGTTAGGTTACTTACATCAGAGATCATTAATTTCCATTTCACATATTCTTGTGTAATCATAAATTATCACACTTTCAAGGAAGATGATCCCCTAACTCACTTTCACTTGTACAAATCTCTGTAACACCTCTTGAAATTAATGTGGCCTCACTACAGGAGGGCTTGACACAGAAATAAGGCTAAGTAAGTCTTAGGGAATGATCTTTGTATTATGTAACCTTTGTCTGAAGTAGAAGATTTAGAGCAAGTACACAACCTTTCTATCTCAGGCTTACAAGGATCTCGTAAATATATGCAAAACATCTGAACAAAAATTTACCTGAATATACTTGAATAAAGTCATACAGAAGGTTGAGTATTCTATTGCAAAATGATTTTAAATATTGAAATCAGCAAGTCATGATATAAAGTTGCAGTAGAAGAAATGTATCAGAATTATGTTTTCACATCAGTTGGTGTTTTGCAGGTAGTTTGATGCCACCAAAAATTGAACTGTTTTTGAAAAGGGTTTGTAACAGTCCTTTGTAGTGCAAAACATTCATAGATACAGATCATAAAGATGTGATTAGTTCAGGGACTTAAAATTTCCAAGATGGGGATAATGCTTGTAGTTAATAGAATTGGAAAACAAAGATATATGGATAAACCTGGGATATCAGGACTATTCAGAAAGAGAACCAAGCAATAATATGCAACATAATCAAGAATGATCTCCATCTGGAAAAGTGACACAAGTTGTTTCCACAACATATCTGTTTAACCTTCATATTCTTTAAGGAGCTGGGGAATGAAATGAGTATTCATGCTATTTCATATGTAGACATATTTGTCAAGTTTCCAGATGCAGCACTTATAGATTTATGTGCAATCAGATTGTTGAAGCGGAGAGATCATCATCTTTTTACACTAGATGGATTATGGAAACCATAAAGGGAACAGTGTTGTGCTTTTGACATGACAGCCTTTTGTAGTGGAAACTACACTGCAAGGCTATTGTCAGTACGAACAGCTGTCAGCTAAAGCAACATCGGATGTGGCAACATGGAATGTAATAATGTGGTGAGGTTGCTTAATCATGTTTTAATATATTACACTGAACCTTTTTATTCTTTATTAATTATGAAAGGGTAAAATATGATGTTATTTCCAACTATTACACATTTACCTACTTGTTGATAAAATCATATTTGTGGATCAGAAGCATGTATGGATAGGATTATCAACACTGCTTTGAATACAGTTAACTATAGGTCTTTGACACATTAAAATTATAAAGAAGGTCAGCTGATTTGATTGATTAAAAAATTTTCTAAAATTTTGATAGATCTAATAATTAAAACTGGTGATGAGTAAATTATAGTATTTCCCACGTTTTTTGTACATATGAATTTTGTTAATCACTGTTTCGTAAGATTGATTAGAATTTTTGACTAAGTCCCAACATGTTTTCCTTTTATATTAGTTTTCTCTCCATAAGTTACTCTTCTATTCATAGCATAAAAACAACAGAAGTTTTCAGTTCTGTATGAGTTACGGCTTGTCATAGTTAACAAAATAGCAAATCCCAAATAAAATTTGTCCATTAATAGCAGAATTATAAGTTATTGCTTACATGCTACCCTTTATACTAAAGTTAGCTCATTAAGTATACTAAAATTGGAGAATTTTAGCATTAATAAGGTCTGAAATTTGGATCTAGTCGCATTCAAAAAACACCCATAGTGAATCTCTCCTTTACAGTAAGAATTTGATGATAAAGTATAGGTTTGTCTTTGTATTACCACATTTAGAGGAAATGTAGGTCTTTGCTGTATAATATTATGGTATTCAGGTACACTGGAATTAACATAAAAATCTAGATTATCTAAAAAATGCAGATTCCAAAACTTTTATGCAGTGAATAAACTCAACACTGACAGCAAACAAAGAACAAACACAAGTGTATAAATGAAGAAAGTCTGTATTCACAGTCACATTTATGCACTGAGCTTATTGATTGGTAGGCTTCTTATTTTCTTATGTGACTTCAGCTGGTGTGAAGAAATTAATTAACTACATGCATAAACTGCTTGGAAATGTAGAAAAATTAGAATATACCTGGTTAAAGATGTATACTGATATGGAAGGGTGAATTGTATATAAGTATATAGAATTCAGCTGAAAACATTTTATTTATTTGTATAAGTTTAAATTGAAAGGACGTTCCTCCTTATTTTATTTTTTTTTTCAAATAAGTAAACAAAAAATATAGGGTTATTATAATATTGTACATCTTGAAAACTGTTTGTCTTAAGAGAACTAAATTTCACCAGAGGCACATTGAGAATCATTAGGGTTGTTTAGGAAAGTTTTGACGTGATACAAGGTATCTCAAAAACTGTCATTCGAGTTCAATATATAAAGCATGTTTCTAATTGGAGTTGCTGCAAGGATCGTTTCTTCTGGACTGTGTTTAGTGATTTTGAAATATCCTGCACATTTGTTATTCTATTCAAACCAGTTATCTCTTATTACTGAAAGAAAAAGAAAGAACATAAATAAAGAAAAGAAAGAACATAAATAAAAGCAATACTACAGTAGTTTGTGAGAAATGTAATTTAGATGTGCAGTATAATATGGTTTTGGAACTCCCTGACTGTACCCAAACTTATGCTAATAAAACTTCTGGTTCTCAGTTTGTTTCTAGTGAAATTTAGTTTATCTAGGATAAGCAGATTCTGAAATATAATAGTTTTAACTTAGAACTACCAATAGGATTTACATTTTAACAGTGCTAGGCACCCAGGATTTTGCAGAACCTAATTTTTCAAGTCATTCTGGATCGTTTTTTTTATTGGCTGAAATTTTTACCAATACCTGATTGGACAAAAAGCAGGTGATTACTCCTCCTTTTGTGAAAACCAGATCCACGGCTGGTTACTAAACATATATCATCATACTATCGACATTCACTGAGAAAATGTACTGATCTTGCATTGATAAAACAACGTTAATACAGGAAAAGAAGAAAATGGCTTGTAAATGCAAAGTGTATATGTGCAATACTTGTGGGAAATGCCCTTGGTGTCAGTATGGATGCGACGGTTTAGATCCAAATGTCAAGAAAAGCAGGTGGGAAACAGCTGCAGAGCAAATTAAGGCATGAAGAAAGAAACAAAGAAGGATTGATTATGCCATTCCAATGGAGAGAATCCCCCCCAGTGGCACATTGATATGTCTGCGGAATTACAACGCTAGAAACTGAGTTTCGATACCCGTGGTGGGCAAAGCACAGATAGCCCATTGTGTAGCTTTGTGCTTAACTTCAAAATAAACTAAACCATTGTAGAACGATGAAGATAAAATGTCTAGTGATACTTCTGAGGCAGGCTCTTGTGGAGATCAATAAGAATAAAATCATTGATCAAGGTGATGAGAATTATCCCACTTATGCCAAGGTCAAGGCCTTCATATCTACACTGAAAACAAAGAACTAGAATGCGAACAAATAGCCAAGAACACAACAAGCTACGCTTGATCTTAGTCAAGAGGCCCGAGAAGATAAGTCAACAAGACACCACAGGTACATCTTCTAAGGTGGACGTCCAATCTAAATTTACTACTGTGCATCATTGTAGTCAAAAACTTGCGATAGTGCCACTAAACTTTGTGTGGAACTGTAGCTCAATCCGGAATGATGTTATATATTAAAGTCTGTCATAGAACCCAAATCCCAGGTACCTGGCCTGTGGAAGCACTGTTAAAAAACATTTTTCAAAACTACCTAAGTACCAGATTGTTTGTAGGGCCATGACTTTGTAGGTTACAGAGTCTCTAATAACATACATATGACACAGAAAAACAAAACATAAACTACTCACTATGAAGCAATATGTGAACCATATTTATAGTGTACTGTATAAAAACAATTAATCATTGAGTTTTCTTTATAATCACATATCTTTATAAATATTACAATTGTTCCAGATATTTATTGTGTTGTCCAGGAATTTTGGATTTTAATTTTGTAAGACATGACATGTTATTAAAGATGAAGTTACCTGTGAATTTAAATCACATTTTTAAGCCTACATCTCGAATATAACACAATTTCTCTATATGCATTGTAATTATTACTTTTTTTATTCAGATCTGTGTCGAAAAGTGTGATGCAGCCATTCGCTCTATCGAGCTTCAGCTGGTGCGTGTAGAAACTTGTGGTTGTGCTGAAGGTTATTCTCGTGATGGTAAGCATTTATTGAGGGTAATTTCTTGAACCGTAATAAAAGATATTTCAGTATCTCAGGTTTGTTAATATTTATTAAAAAAATCCGATTTTCTGTCAATAGTGGACTTTCACATTTACTTAAAGTGTGCTAAGTTTCGTAAAGATGCACAGTAATTAAACATTAATTCTCCAACACTGCATCAGTTCAAAGGACCAACCCTGTGTTCATAGGGTTAACTTTATGTTGATTTTAAATTTTTTGAAACTAGTCTTTTTCTTTTTTTTTATCTTACAATATTTGTCTCTGAATATACAAAGTCAATCTTTGACTGGTCTGAGAGTAAGGTGACTTTTATGGTAAGAATAAAAAATACTGTTTTTTCATCTCACAGTTTTCATATTTCCTATACACAATCTTTATAACCTCTTAAATGAATGTCAAAATTTTTTTTGGTAAAACTTTATACCTTAACTGTTATTTTCTCTTACTCTAATACTAAGTGTAGCAAAAGTTGAACCGTGTCTAAGTATTAAACTAGTGTAACAATGAATTATCTGGAGAGAGCATACATCAAGCTATGGTATACAAAATATCAAATCACATAATGCACAAGAAGCTCATGTGCAGACATCATGGACAACTTTTTTATTTAATGTTTATATCAAATTCATTAAGTTTTTAATTTTTTCACCTTAGTTACTTTTATAGGAAAAGTTAACTATATAATGAATTTACATTAAAACCAATAGGAGTTAGTAGTCGCTCACTCATTTGAATGTATGTGTAGAGTAGTTCAGAACACATCACACTTTTTTTTCACTTTGTTCCTTAAATGTAAAATTAAAATTTGGAGATAGGTTATATAATAGCTTTATTTTTGTTCTCTTCAGCAACTGAAATACAGAATATTCAAATTGGAGAAGGTGATGTCTGCCGAGGAATTGTCATTCCAATATATATGATTTTTCCTCGTCTGTTTGCTTGCCCAACCCTCATTACCAGTAATTTTAAAATAGGTAAGTCCAAGAGTTTGCTCTACATCCACTGACCTTATAACACATATCAAAAGTGGTTAATTTTATCCATCAGAGATACTGTTATTAAATGTAATTTTGATTTAATTACCTTTTCTAATATTATTCAACCTGGTCCTTGTGGTAGTTATAACGTGTTTTACTCTAGCTGGTCTCTCACGTAATTGTTTCCTACAGTAATTATAAAGAATCTTTTGAAGTACATATAGATATTATACATAGCCTAACTTACCCATACTGTATGTATAAGAGTGACTTACAAATGCATTGTGTTACATAATTGGTCCTTGTAGTGATCAGTGGATTGGTTTACAAATGTTCTGTCACACAAATGATTTCTGTGGTAATTGTGAGGATGCTTTATACATGTGTTACCAGACTTAATAAGCTTTTGTACCAGCTGTGTCAGTGGCTTGTTTATGTTATGTCACAAGTAATTAGTTTTCTGTTGTAATAATGAAGACAGCATATAAATAAAGGTTGTTTCTATAGTAAATATGAGAATGGTTTATGTATTTAATACTTGGCATAAAGATAACTGGTTGCTGTAGTAATTGTAAGGATTTTTTCAAATATATCACAGTAACTAGTTTCTATATTAATCATAAGATCTTGTAGCTACATGTTGTGTTTGTTAATTGTTGGTCTATGTTTTAATTAAAACAATAATACATAACTATTTACTTTGCTTATCATACTTGAGAACTTGGGAGCAGATAAATGTTTATTTTGTACTTTTCATAGTTAATTCCCACTGTTAATAGTTAATAACTATCAGTTAATAGTTAATCTTTCCATACTTTCATAATTTTAGTGGTATGATTGCAATCACAGTTGACTAGCTGACTAGTTTTATCAAGTTTAGCTGAATCAATTAGGGTTTCTTTTCTCCTAAAGGCATATTACATATTATTGGGTGATACATCCTGATTTTGGTTGCTAGAATTTAAATTATTTTCATATAAGGCAGCTATATTTTAATTTCCAGAACAATTTCAGTCAAAATAATCAAAATTAACAGAGTTGTATGCCAAGCAAGTTATATCTACATCCACTTGTGTTTGTAAAAAAAAGAAGTCCATAGTATTACATTAGGTCATGATAATGGTAAATCATCATTTCTAATTAGAGTATTAATAATGAAGTAAATAACAATGAAAGCAAATTCAACATTTTTATCTATTTCTGTTACTGTACAGTGGCTAAAGCCATAATCACTACTGGCATACGATTTAATATATTACACTGTGAATTTTAATGTTCATACACTAATTAAATTTATCCAACAAGCTAAGTACTATATAGTCATGTTCTGCACATATAGCCATTGCGATCTGAAATATAAAATACTCTCAATTTAAAGTTGTTCCCAACATTGTCAGCATTTGACAATGATAACAAAGTTACAGAAAGCTTTTAGTAAAAAATAACAGGCTTCATTTTGTGTGCAAGGAAGAATTTTGATGTGACAAACTTATGGTAAACGCAACAGTTATTAGTTAAACTTAGAAAGCTACAGTTGAAATTTTAATGCCACAATATTTGAATAATGTTGCAAACTTTTGGAAGTATTTTAGAAACATTTATGATGACTTTTGCATAAAACAAAAAAGGTTTGATTTTTTCATGTTTGGTATACATTACTAGAAACAATTTATATTAAGTGTTTTAAAGCAAAGGTTTAGAAGTCTATCTAAAAAAATAACCATATTTTACAGTTCTCTATTTATCTAAATTCCAATGTTTTCAAGAATTAGGAAGCAGGATTGTTTATTTGAATTCAACAGTGGAATATGTAAATAATTTGACAAAACTTTTAAAAACCTGCATCATCCTGTGTAAAGTATATTCCTTAAGTTCTTGTTATCTGAAGCAATGCACAATCAGTAATTACATTCATGTTTGTACCATCAAACCAAACCCAGATATAACCTTATATAATGGTTAGGTCTTCAGAATGACACATTTTTGACACTAGTAGAAAGTGTTAAAATAAAATACCAGATTATCTTGTTGATGATGTAATACATTTTTTTAAATAACTTATCTACACATTGACAAATGATTTTTCTTTATTTCATATTTTGTGAAATTGTGGTAGGTATAATGTATGCTCAGCTCCATCAGAAAGGGAGAAGTTTTAGTGTTAAGTATAGTGTTCCAAAAATTAGCACGTTTAACTTGCTAACTACAAGATTATTCATGTGTATTAAACCAGTTATTAACTGTATGCCAATTATGAATTTATTTATCCATTTATAATTTTGAAACTGAAATTTTCAGGTTGCATTAATTTTTCAGTCTTTGATTAAGAAGTTTTGTAGATTATGTATTTTTGAATTAGGCACACTTTATGAGTGACACGTACATCAAGAAAAAATGTTTCAAGAAAAAAAAACAATTAAAAGCATAATTGTTGTTTTAAATAATTTAATGCGTAAATTGCTTATCTCTGCAAATACTGACATTTAGTGTTTTTTCTTTAGTGGGCCTCATTTCTTCCATCACTTGTTTTCTTTAGCCTTTTCTCTTCAATCAAAGGGGATCTATTGAATCAGGAATCTTAGAATTTTAAGAAATTTTGTTGTATGCATGCTTTCATATGATTTTATGGATTTAGGGCATCTCTTTTCTTATCACTAACATCAAATATAATTGGTGATCAGCTCATCAATCTTGATCTAGTTATATTTCCTATTTCCAGATGAAGTTTCAGAAGCTGTATTATTTTATCAACCAAGGTCACTGGATGTGTCTTTGTTCATAAAGGATTCATTAGTTGTTGTTGATATTTGTTTTTTTCCTCAGGCTGTTAAATTGTTTACAGTTTGGTATATATTCATTGAATTCTTTTGTATTTCTCTGTAGACAACTATGCATATTTATCTTTCTCATTTTATATTTTGGATTTGAACTAACCATACGAAATATATTGAATGCTATAAGCACACACATGACTTTTGTTTTTCCAGTATTTAAGATTTGATCTCCATGTAACTGAGTTTGCTATATACCATTTATTTTTTTTTAGATCTTCTTGGATCAAACTTAGATGTTTTTTCCCTGGTGACTAATTTTTTTAGAACTGAATTTTACTATTCACTGTTCACTGATTTTCTGTGCTCGGCACTTTTTTTGGGTGTGACCTCAATTCTTTTTTTCTTTTGATCAACCACATATACTATAGTTATTTTGTATACCAGCAGACTAGAAAAGAATGTAAACATTTCTCTTCCAAAAGAATATAGTTTACTCATGTGTCTTTAGCTCCAAGAGCATTCATTGTATACATCAGTCTTCCCAATGTTCAACCATTAATTTTGGACATAGAAGGTTTCATATTTTTTTAATTTGCATTATTTCCACGATATTGATTCTGGTCATAAGGTCTCTCCTGATGAATGAGATTTCTGTACATTTAATATTGTGATTAATTTATATAATATGAGACATTAGAAAATAAGTTTTGTAACCACAATTACATTATTTTTGATTTTATACTTTTTTTTTAAACTTTTATATTGGTGAAATTTGTTGGCATTTTCTTGATCTTTTTTTTTTAAAGAATAGAGGTAAAATATGATACTGATTGAGTCATTCTGAGACTTATTATTTTGACTGTTAAATGTGTTTCAGCATTATTACCACATCAAAATCTTAAAACTTGGAAACCTTTAACCATAGCTAGAATTATGTAAGTTAATCATGAATATATCATTTATTATAATTCATAAGCTTATTTTTTGTCTTTTATTTCGTAACCTCACATATTTGGTCTATGAATATTTTTGTTTACCATGCATGGTACCACAAGTGTTCTATAAAATTCTGTGCAGTGTATTGTAATGATTTATCAGTTATTCTTGTTGTATGTAGTTATTTGAATTTCTTTAAATGATGAGCATTATTGAAATGTTTAATTTTATTTCTAATTCCTAGAATTTGAAGTCAACATAGTTGTTGTGTTTGAAGATGATCATCTAATCACAGAAAACTTTCCTATCAAGCTGACAAGATTCTGATTTTTCCAATAAACTTAGAGTTGAATTAGATTATTATGTATTATGTTTTCGTCTTATAGCTGGAAATAAAATATAACAAAAGAAAGTGTGAAGTTGTTTACACTTGACACCATCTTCAGTGTTTTAAAATTTGATAATATAGTACATGTACAGTGTTTTAAATGAGCTACATTCATTCAGAATTTGATTTCTAAAAACATTAATTTATGATGTATTGAGCCTACTCATCTTTAAATTTCTTGCATCTTATTGTTCTTTGTATACACAATATGATATGGCTACTAAAATATAATACTGAGTTTAAATTTCATTTGGACATTGGTAATGTGCAAGTATACTGCAAATGAAGCTAATTTAAAATCACGATTCATTTCTGTAAATTTCTAAGTATGAATTGTGAAGATAACATAATTTTTAATGTTTTTTAACTCTCTAAAAAAAAAGAGAGATTGACATTATGAAAAAAAAAACTTGCTTATAATTTATAGAAATATATTTTTATTACATCAGTTTTTTAATAAAAATTCTGTTCTTAGCTTTGTATGCTCTCTTCAAAATTTGATAAAGCCTGTTTTCTTCCATTGCATTATTTTAGTTGTAAATGGGTTTGACATTAGTTATTTCAGTAACTATACACATATTGTCTTATTTATCTGTGAAAAAATTATACATGAA